GAAAAAATACATAAATGAATATAATTTTGAACGCGTTAAAGAGTTGGAACACTGTTAGCAGAAAGGGTTCAGAGTTTAACCTTTTTGAAGGATAAATCGTAAAAACCGGTTAGATGACTGTGAATCACCATTTAAAATGGTTAATTGGATGCTTATCTTAAATGCAATTAATTCTTTACATTTATTGAGAGGGTTAAACATTTAACTAGGAGAGTTTAATGAATCTTGTGCGTGGATAAATGAGTATCCATGAGAACAGGTATACATATTTATACCTTCTGAGACTACATACATGAAGCTCTGAATGGAAAATGGTCTTTCTATAAGAAAAAATTACTAATAATCATTTCTCCAGCTCCTGAGGAAAAAGTTAAAATTTAAGTAATCGTCTTTTTTTAAAGCGAGGGAAAGTAGTAAACTCGTACATGTACAAGGGGCCATAAGTATTAGGTTGTTGGTCTATCATTGATCTTATATGTGCACATGTTCTAAACGACATGGGACTCATGAACCATTCCGAAGATGAGCCTGTGGGCGTATTCAGTTGTGACCCGGGTCATGACTCGAGGTTCATGATTCTCGGCAGGTGCGGTGCTTTTCAAAAACTATTATACCCAGGTTTGATGACATTGACAAGAGGTGTCATCATGGAGTAAAATTTATTTTGAAGCCTCAATGCAGACGTTGAACTGAGACCCTCGAGTCATGACTCGGGTCACAACTGAAGGCGCCCAGTTTCTCACTTTCATGAAACCCTTGAACGACTATCTTCAATGAATGAAAATACAGTCCTCACATACAAGACCAACTATCAACTATCTTGGAATTTTTCCAAATAGACCTTTTTCCTTTCCCCCCGTCGTTTATCTCTTACAGTAGCAGTTATTTCATCCATGCGCCCCCTTCCAACGACCCTGGCTTACACTATTGGCAAAAAGGGTTCAAGGAATATCTTTTGGGGGGTTAAATAGAAAAAAAAGGTTAAATGCCGGTACAACACTATCTCAAAGGGCTATTTAGATGTTTATTGAACATTGAACAACCTCTACTATTTTTATCCCTTCGATCTGAAGGGTTTGATATTCAACACTTTGAATGGGGTGTAACCACAAGTCGGTTATACACAAGAAAATGAATAAATATATCATTTTTGAGGCTGCATATTTATCCCCAATGAGATAGTTCTTCATAGGAATCGGATGTTACTAAACAGTGTTCAGGTTTTAACCTTATTGTAGAAAAGGTATAGACGAGAGTGAAACCCCATTTGCAAGGGTTATTTGTGTTATGTAAAGTTCCCCTTTAGACCACTAGATGGAAGTATGGAGCTACCGTTTCTCATAGAACATACGAGTAGAATAGCCCTTCCCTCTTTCCCAGGAATCTTCCTCACAGGTACGTTATGTCACCTCATCCTGTGTCTCGCCTTGCCTCATTATAGGTAGTAATAAAAGCGGACACTAGGTAGTAGTAATAGGTAGTAATAAAAGCGAATAAGTAAGAGAAGTCTTTCAGCTTCATTATTACATGAATACTTGGAGGGTTATATATTAATCCAGGTCAACCGATGATTTAACCTTATTAAAAGGATACTGTAATTAATCGATCAATAAGGCTATTAATAAGTATCTATATCTATTAATCTATTAATAAGTAAACCGCAAGGGATAAATATGACTTGCAGTTGAAACACCCTTTAGGGGATGAAAGCTGAATCATTCTTGCTAACAGTGTACGCCTCCTCGACGTGTCCCACGCGAAACCGAATCGTGCCCGGCGACTTCAAGGCACGCACGACAACGCCTTAAGGTAAGAATCGTCGTGGAAAATGGGAATTTCTCATACAACTTCCCACCCCTACACTCATGCTTACGTTCTCGCTCGAGTATGATATTCCACATCGGTTCACTATCTACCTGCTTCAAGTGCCTCTGAGACCCATCGTAACAGTCATCGGTCGCGACGGACCAGTGCTTTCGAAGATATGAGAGATATTCTTTCTTTTCTCATTCTGGCGTGGCAGAAACCACATTCTATTGTGTCACCTGAGGCAAAAGCTATTGATATGTCAATGAACGTGCTGCTGGCAGGTGACAGTTGTCTTCTGGATATATTTTTTGGATCTTTCAAATATTTGGCTGCTGCGTGCTCTGAAAAAAAAATCTGAGAAAATAATTCGATTCACAAGGTATCACTGTCGGATTTAGTGAAGGCTACCTTCAAGAGCGCCTACCAGCCCACCCTGAACTGTATTCAAGAATGCAGCCGAACGAACATACTCGTGCATCTCACCCTAGAGCAGCGGTTCCCAACCTCTTTGACAGATCATACAGTATTTTGCTTCTTCAAGACTCCGCGACTCAACGAAATATGCTGGCCGATAGAAAAGAACGCAACTACATGACAAATATACAGCTTTTTTTTCTCGCGTTCGGGGGCCCCAGGGGACCCAAACCGACTCACAGAGATCAAGGAGAGGGATCTCGGCCCATCAGTTGAAAACCGCTGCTCTTCCGAACAGATGAACAAATGAGATACCGATGAACTCGTAACATAAAAATGCAGCGTTGTTGAGAAGAATAAGATAGGAAGTGTTCTCCATATCATATGTTTTCCTCGCAGTCGTCTAATCATCTGCCTATGGCAAACGCACTCATATGTCAGCAGTCACATACGAGAAAAGTTATTGCGTCTGATAGCACACCAAGAAATTAATCTATGCCTATGATTTCTTAAATTAGTACCATCGCTTCGTCACTGTCGCTTGAAAAAACGTGACGTCTGAGTCATTTCTTGGGGATGTCACAGTGTGCCTAATGGCTAATGTCATTCCAGGCGATTGTTTCATCCCGAAATCTTGTTTCGTGGCTTTTGGAGCCCTATCCACAGCCGAATCTTCCTCTGTTTTAAAGCGAATGATTTTTGAGCATCTAGGACATGAACTAATTTCAAAATTACTATTCCGCTCCAGTTCCAGTTGGGATTTCGTTGTGCGTATAGTCGATATGAGCACAGTGGAACTTTAATCAGACCAGTTTCTAAATCCTGCATTGACTATCCGTCAAACAACCGTGGCCTGATTGCAGTTCCGCTGTGCTCATACAGTATATCCCCTATACTCGCAACGAAATCCCAACTACAACCGCAATTGAACTTGAACTTGAAGCAAACTGCAAATGATCTACAGTTTTGATATCAGTCAGTGGCGTATTTTATGGGGGAACGGAGGGGGGCAGCCGCCCCCCACTTTTTTCGACCTGAGAACCTTCTCTCCCCAGCTTTATCCCTCCCCTCTCCCCTCCCCACTGTCCTTGGCAGCCCCTTTCTGCTACCCTGTCCCCTTGGCTCATGAGCAAAAGTGCGCCACTGAAATAAGTCATTGTTTCAGGTTATCTCCCGAGAATCTGAGAATTAGGAGTCGATTGATGAATAGAAAAACAAACTGGGCTGATTTAACCCTGATCGATAAAGCACTTCAAACCCGTAAACACGATACCGATATCTGAAGGTCATCGAAACCAGCTCTCCGAGTTGTCGAGTTGTTAATACGGCCGTCTGTCTCAGTCTCCAGTCGCATAGCACGACATAAGAGCATCTATGCAGAGAGTTGAGAGGGAGCCAACACAGCGGAGGTGCTTGTGCTGTGCTAATGTGGTTGGAACGAACGTGGCTTCACTCCCCACGTGACACGGGATGGAGCTACACCTCGCATTCTATGTGACGTGTGTCATTCCTTTCCGATTCACTCCGTGCTGGTGTATGTGTAAGATCAAAAGCGGTGCTCAATCCTGCTGCTTAGAAATTCCGTTTCAAAAAGAATCTTGGTATGGGAAGTGCTTCTTTCCCGGGGGGAGACCGTGAATCATGGGGTCTGTCTTTAGGAATACTGCCCTGATACTAATCCCTCTTTGGGAATACCAGTGTGATCCCAATCCTCCTCCGTTGTGTACCCGGTGAGGGTTGATTTCAGTCCCCCTTGATTAGACGAGGGATTAAGGGAGATAGTACTAGAAGGAAACTCCTTTTTTGCAATCATGAATAGGCAATCCATTGATCTGAAGGCGAGAGGCCCTCTTGGGAGGGTGATGAAGTCTGAAATTCGAATGAACTTCCCCCTCTTCCCTCCTTTCCTGTCCCTGACAGCTTCCAACTTTTTCACCCTTTCTTCTCTTCCTCGGACCATAAATCATTTGAATGACTCATGGCATTATATAGGAAGGATAAAGAACGATCGGCAGTGCATGTCGTATGCTAATTAAGTCCGGAACGTCCCATTCAGGCTAACAAGCCTTCCCCCTGCATAATATCCTCTCCGTGCCAATAATCGTGCGGCTGCCGAGAAAGGATTACCCTCGAAGCTATCTTGTATACCAGAAGTTCAAATGGGTGTTTTCGCGCTCAGATCAGCGTCATTGAGGCTCCATCCATTACGAACGTTCCGGTAGGTCTATCTGCATTTACCGTATAATCAATATCTTAATGAACCAATGACATGTTATGCTGTCAGAATTTCCCAGTCAGTTCATTTTGTTCGGGTAAAAACTTACTGACCCTCATACACTTTACCAGATTATGCTTTCGATTTTTATTTAGCAGTCCCGGAGGTGTTCTGAAAAAAAGGGCGAATCCAAAAGCCTACGCTTTATCTGACAATATGCATTTTAAATTAAGATTAATGGCGTAACTGAAACTTGCCGGTTCTGCTACATCCATCATTCTCAAAATCAATTCGAAATACAACCTATTTCATTTCACTCAGCTACGTTAGATGCATGCTTATGTTTTATTACAAAATGTAAAAACTGATGTTTTCAGATTGAGTTTTTTTTTTCTCGCTTTCTCATCCTCTCTTTTTTGAAAAAAAAAAAACGCTATTTCCTTTTCTTATTTATCATGGCTGGCATGTGGAAACCTGCAGCCTCGAAATGACAGCTTCCTTACTATCAAAAAGTATCGATCGATCCAGAAAAGGGATGGTGTGGAAAATCGTTTTACACAGAATAATTTCCAACAGGTGGAAGTTGGACTCTGAATGGTTTCAGATTTCGGCAAGGAAGGAGAACAATCATGTCCAAGAAGTTGATCAACGAGGTGGATCGAGTAGTGGAGGATATGCTGGAGGGTTTGGTGGCCTCGAACCCTGGCCTTCGATTGGTTCGCGATTCCAACGTCGTCATCAGTGCCAGGGCAAACGAAGTCAAAGGGAAGGTCGCCATCATCTCTGGTGGCGGCTCTGGACACGAACCGTTCGCGGCTGGTACAGCCATCACTTATACTACATTAGAATTTTACAAAAGGAATGTAAGAGAGGGAGAAACAGGCTTCATCCTACGATTTGGTTGTTTGCTGGTCTTGCCAAATTGATCTCCAAATTGACCTCCCACTCTAAGACTGAATTTCAAAACGTCGTCGGCTTGATTTCTTTCTCATGTTCTCTCCGGAAATGATAGCATTCTTAAGTTGAATTTTGCATTGTAGGTTTCATTGGACAAGGGATGTTGACGGCGGCGTGTCCAGGTCCTATCTTCACGTCCCCACCCAGCAAATTATCTCGGACAGCCATTCGTTTGGTTGCTCAACATCAGCCGGGTCTGCGCACTCAAAATAACTTCCTAATATTAATAATAATAGTAATAGGTTCATATTAACTCGATTTACTGCATTTCAGCGGGAATAATAGTTTTCGTGTACAATTACACGGGTGACCGATTGACGTTCGGGATTGCGGTGGAGAAGGAGAAAGTGGAGAACGCCTCGGGAATCCCGATTGAAATGTATGTGAACGGGGACGACCTGGCCCTTGACTACGCGTCTAAAGCCGGGCGCAGAGGCCTCGCTGGCAATCACCTCCTTATGAAGGTCTCACCTTCCTCCTGACAGTTATGAAAAAGTGTCTTGACGCGTGAGACAAATTTCATGTGGCGAATGACCAACCCTAAAAAAAAAATACCCAAAATTGAGATGTTTGGTCTAATTGCCTCGTACTGTACATTCAAGTAGCCAATAAGGTCTATTGACAGAGCTTATCATTGCCTTCCTTATCTTCCATATTTTAGCTTATATCTAGGCTTCGATGTAGCATCATTCAACCAGTAACATGGAGAAACTACATTACCTGAATACAAAATATACACAGCTTGCGAAAAATAGGGACAGTGTGTAAGTGTATGGACGTTTTAATTAGAGCGTTTATGAGAAATTAACGATAAACACAAACCTTAACCGACAATTACTAGGAGAAATCAACTTTTTTTTTCTCCCATACAGACCATGTCAAAATATTCTATGAACTTTATACTTCGCTGGTTTTTTCTAAATAAAAAGTATACATTATACAGGGTTTGTCAATAAAAATCCAAGTGAACGTATATAAATGTAACATGCACTTGAACAACTGAACCGGTTGGTTCCAATTTTTCACAGATTTTGCCAGCTAATAAATGGTCAATACTTAAATTACCACTTTTTCAATTGCTTATTATTCAATCCTTTGAAAAGCCAGATGTTCCAGTGCCCTAGCCTACATTGTGTTGCAGGGAAAATCTCAATAAGAACGATGCTGTCAACCATGCAAAGAATTCATATAGAAATTTATAGACATACCCTGTAGCCCATAACGTATATCATATGTTCCTATATTTCTCTCAATTATGAAGGAGCTTTCTATACCTCAGTTTTCGTAAACCTGGAAGTTATAATGCTGTCCCACTCGACAGGCGATTCACGGCCGAGGTATTCTTCATGGCAGATCGCGGGAGGGATGGCGGAGGATGGTAAGAGCATCCAGGATGTCATGAATGCCTTGAAAGAGTCGAGTAAGAACCTGGGGACGATGGGAGTCGCTCTCACCCCGTGTAGCATCCCAGGTCAAGGTCCCCTATTCGACCTCGCTTCCGATGAAATAGAACTCGGCTTGGGAGTCCATGGCGAAGCTGGCGTCAGACGTACCAAGGTCCCTGCACTCTCAATCCTTTGAAATTCATTTCAAATGATTCTCGCATGCGTTAATAGCTCAAAATAAGCTGAAGTATAAAATATAAAAAAACTAGACTAAAATTGGACACAATAGCAAATTGAGGGGTGATAAAATGCTTTCCGGCCTGACCTGCCTGATGCAGAATAAAGAGCTTCTGGCAGTACGAAGTTGCAACTGAACTGTTCCGGCTTACTTCAACACTTACTGCGAATGTGAAATATATATATATATATATGGCAAGGAAATATTTGAACTGTCTGATCGGATATTTCATAAAAACATGATATTCCTTCGGAAATAGTTCTTCATAACTTGAATTTCTTCGAGTCAATTTTCAATGTCATCGAGCACTCAGAGTCAGAGTGACGGCATTCGCACTTGATCTTCGCGTGAAAGTACGCTGTGCATTGATACCATCATTCCCTGAAACTCACTTTTTTCCATATAAGACCTGAAACTTTTTTATTGTTCCTCGTACATGGTACGAAAGCAAGGATTTCGTCCTGCTTAGATACGTTCGAGTTCCGAAGTGGTGGCTACCATTTTGAACCGGATCGTGTCTGGTCTGGACCTGGTGAAAGGCGACGAAGTCATCTTACTTCTCAACAATCTCGGAGGAACTCCAAAAATGGAGGAACTCATCACCATTCGAGATGCCATTCTGAATCTCGGTAGGCCTGCACGAAACACGTGCTTTCTCACATTCTCCTATTGTTCAACATTTTAAATTGTGGTTTATTTATCGTCGCTGAGTCTTATTTCTTTATAGGTAGGCCCATTGTTTCCTTAAAAAGCGAAGTGAAGCGAGTAGAAACGGTAACCGTCTCGTGCATTACTAACATTGAGTAGAATGCTATTGGCAGAAGATGCTTAGTAACTTAGAATCTGTTCTAGTTAGGATAAAACACTCAGTGATGGATCGCTCAAGTTCCATTTACCAATTTAGTGAAGGATATTGTCATAAGTTGGTCGTGTTCGCATTCAAAATGTATTCTTTCCAACTAGAATAAACATTCAGGAACAAGTTCAGTCTATTGCACATACTACGTACATCAGAATAGAGTGCGTTGTATGATTATGATTCTGCAGTATATGACTTCAACCGAGATAATTTTTCCCAGTAATGGATCAAAATGGCATATGGCTTGTGTCTGCATGCACGTAGTGATCTCTGGAATCTAAAACATTCACCATTGTGTAACACCAACTCAACTAAGGGTTGCTTGAAGTTCGCGTGAGATACAAGTCTCACGCGAAATCGTAAACAAGAAGGGATCTGTATGAGAGGAGGCGGAAATTTTCCGTGGCGACACAACCTGTCGCCAGAAAAGTGAGATCATATGATCTATCACTGGTAGGAGATCCGTCATTGGGTGTTTTCCTCTGTCCAGAATCGTTAACAAGCAATAGCGTTTTCCTACTGTGATTTGACTTATTGACCCCGAAAACTTACGGATTCGTATAGAGATCCGGGGTATGAAAGTGGTTCGAGCCCTGTCAGGACAGATGATGACCTCGCTGGAAATGGCTGGGATCCAGATCTCCGTGCTGAAGGTGACCAATCACCCTGAATGGTTGAGGTACCTGGATGCACCCACGGATGCCCCGGCTTGGCCCCGTCCTCTTATGATGCCCGGAATCAAGAACCGATTCACACCGGACAGGTCGGACTCGCAACCGGATGTATCTATCATCAATAATTTCATGAAATGTGAGATTTAGGCGTCCTCTTGAAGGCTGCCGAGTCCAGCTCTGACGACGACACTGGAGAATATAGACCCAGGACTGGGCATCACTGACCCAGAGGTCACGAAAAAGATCCGTGTGGTCCTTGAAGCCGTCTGCAAGGATCTTCTAGCCAAGGAAAGGACGTTGAACTCCTACGATTCCAGGAGTGGAGATGGAGATTGCGGCGCCGCCATAGCCAGAGGGATCGGAGGTATGAGAAGGAAGGAAATACAGGGTGTCTCAAAAGGTATGGAAACATTTCAAAAATGAATATCTCTCTAAATTATGCCTCAAATAAAATGATTAAAACAGTAAAATGAAGTGCAGCTCAAACATTTTTCAACCTGCTATTGCAATTCCACATGGGCACCATTTGTTATTCTGGAGATGTCTAAGCGATGTTCGAGCTCTTACCACACCTTTTGCAGTGTTAGGCATAACTATCATGATAGCTCGGACGTTTCTGTTCTTTGGATCTTGATCGATTGTCTACTTTTCTCTAGTAAGCGATGCCCTTGACATAGCCCATTAGAAAATGTCTTCTAGGGTTAGTTCAGGTGATCTTGGTGGCCATGGAATGAACTTGCTTTGTCCAATCCAAAGATCTGGTTTTTTTTTTTCCCCATGTTTGCTAAAATGTGGAGTTGCAACATCTTAGAAAATTAGACTTTTATTGTGCCTGAACCCTTCCCTCTTGGATTTTTTTCTTGTGGGGCTAAGTCAAGGACATTGAAGAAAAGTTGACAATCTCCAATCTGATCTGAAGAACAGAATTGTTGCAGCTATCCAGACAGTCATACATGACACTCCGCGTAAGTTGTGGTAAGAGCTTGAACACCGTTTGGACGCCTACAGAGCCACAAATAGTGCCAATGTGGAATTGTAATAACAGGTTGAAAAATGTTTGAGTTGCACTTCATTTTACTGTTTTCATCATTTTATTTGAGGCATAACTTAGTGAGATATTACTTTTTTAAATGTTTCCATACCTTTTGGGACACCCTGTACATTCGTTATACACGGTGTTTAAAAAAAACTGTGCCAAATCATTTTCGTTAATAATGACAGTACTTTTCATCAGATCGACACAATTTTTTAAACACAGAATGCGAATAGAGTAAAAAAAAAAAGACCAAATTTTAAAGAAATTGAGGCATTGTATCATGTTCTATGCCAGTTCAAACTTGATAGGTAAAAAAAAATGTCCCTTACAAGCCCGCTGGTGCGATTGCTTCCGTCAGTGAAGTGAATGGAAGTCTGTGAGGGCCTTATCAAACAGCCAAAGAGGCAGAGGGCATGGTGTTTTCCCTTCGTCACCTAATTGGATTTTTATGTTTGGCCAATACCAGGTATGAATTTCCTACGCATTGGCCAAAAATTTCGTCATCAAAATAGGTGACGAAGGGAGAACAACACAATCTCTACCTCTTTGATAAGGCGCACAAACTTTCCTTCGCTTCATTGGCTGAGACGAACGCACCAGCGGGCTTGCAAGGCACATTTTTTTACCTACCAAACTGGCAAACTTTTAAACTGGCATAGAACGTGATACAATGCCACAATTTTCATAAAATTCGGTAATTACCTTCTTTATTCAAATGCTGTGTTTAAAAAATTGCGTCGATCTGATGAAAGTACTGTCATTATTAGCGAAAATGATTTGGCAAAGTTTTTTTTTAAACACTGTGTAGATACATTCGGGGTGGGCCAACATTTTGTATGGATCAAATTCAGATCCACTAAAAGGAGATGCATATGAGGAGATTCCGTAGCCTTTGGGAAAACTAGGGCAGATGCAAGAGCAGGTCGTTGAACCACACTTGAGCCATTTTCATTCCAGAAGTGTCCAGGCGCCTCGAGTCTGGTTCCTTGGACTTAAAACACCCGAAGGTATTGTCTTTACATCTGGCGGATATTGCGGAAAACACAATGGGCGGATCTTCCGGTGGACTCTATAGTCTTTTCTTCACTGCCGCTTCCCACGCCTTTCATCTCGTCTGTTCACGCTTTCAACATTTCTTTGATGCATGACATTCGGGAGAGAGATACGAGATTTAAAACACTGAGATCCTCTACAGGACAAGCTACAGGACAAGAAGACTCTCGACTGGCCTTCTCTATGGTGCCTCGCCCTTCAATATGGCCTGACGGCCATTCAGAAATACGGTGGAGCAGAGCCCGGCGATCGAACCATGGTAAGGCGAATCGTCGATTGCTCCGTCTATCCATCGATCGATCCTCCGATCGAAACTTTCGTCCTTTTAGTTGGATGCGCTTGTTCCGGCCCACAAGGCGCTAAGTGAAGCGCTGTACAAGCAGGCGGGGAGGAATGCCGCGCTGCAGGAGTTGCGGGCGGCTGCGGAAAAGGGTGCTGAGGAAACTCGGAGAATGGAGGCGAAAGCAGGCCGGGCCTCCTACGTCAGCAAGGAAGAACTTGTGAACCCTGACCCTGGCGCTACCGCAGTCTCAATCTGGATCGGCGCCGTCTCCCGAGTCCTTTTGGGTCCCACCGATTGATTCCTAGCCTCCCCACATGCGTTCCTACGTGATAGTGTTTCTATGAAGGTCTTGAAGTCTACCTCTTATAAAATAACGGGTTAACGGCTTCAGTACCGTGATGGATATAGTGGACCCATATCGTGCAGGACTTCACGAATCCCTCTTCTCAAGCGCTAAAACTGTCATGCCGACGGAATGCTTGGGCGAGGATGACTAGGCTTGGCTCTGCTCCCACATTTGTTCTTCCGTTTCTGCTTCTTCGCGAGTGCCATCAACTATCCCAGCTTATGTCATCCTATGTGGTACATCGACCATCTTCTACCTTAGAGAAAGCCCTCCGCTTGAATCAGTCTCGAAAAAGAAAAAGTAACTCTATTGCAATCCCAAAATGGGCAAAGGATGGAAGATTTCATCCCATGTTTCCTAATTTCTTCGATTCAGAATTACTTCTGTTCGATTCGGGAGTGGCTTTCAATGTATCTCTCTTCCGTACGGAGCACTTGAAAACGTCCCCCAAGTTAACCGAATAAATTGGTTGTGCAACTCGCATTATCGACTGATAATCACGTGAGTTGCTTCACGAGTTTAATGCTGCCCAGAAATTCAGGAAGTCTTAAGAACTTAGTCTTAGTCTGAATTCGAGTTCAGTTAGGACGCTCCCTGGTTCTGGTCATGTGTCTGGGTTAAATAAAAAAATTTCCTGAATAAACACTTCATAATGAATATTGAACTTCATAATGAACACTGATAATGAATATTTACTTTCAAATGAATATCCCGAATGAATGGCTTTCCCTGGAAAATATTCTCCTAAGGTTTTTTTTTCCTCCTCAAGTAAGTCGACCTATGAGGGTGTGAGGGTAGGAGTGTCTGTGAATTAGGTAGGCCAACTTCACCTCTTATTCAGATTTTTACTGTACAGCCTCGATTTTGAAAAGATCTGGTTGATGTTGATTGCGGTTGCAAGGGCTAAAGGAATGTCGCAAAGAAGCAATGCTCCGACTTTGAGGCTTGGCTTTTGGGCTGAGGGAAGGACTTCAAGCGTCCTAACTTTAGATTAGCATTTGATGCAGACGACGTAGCCCTTGCTTTGGGGGAATGCAGTGGCGGCTCGTGATATTTAACGCAAGTGATTCGTCTATGGAGTGGGGGTAGGCAGCTACCTCCCCTGCTTAACCCCTCTCCATAGATCAGGGGTTCTTAACCTAGGGTCCATGGACCCCCAGGGGGTCCACGGAGTAGGTCCAAGGGGTCCGTGGAGGGTTCATGGAAAATTAAATATATAATTGAAGGTAGATCCCGAAAACATCATTTATAATCACAAACCCAGGTGTTCCAAAGTTTCTGATAACCGGGGGTGGGGGTCCATGGGTAATACTTGAGGATCTGGGGGTCCGTAGGTGCAAAAAGGTTAAGAATCCCTGCCGTAGATGAACCACTAGCGCTAAATATCACGAGCCGCCACTAAGGGAATGTGAACCACTCATACTCTATACAACCGTTTTTGCATGTTACTGAGAAAAAAGTGAAATAACTACCGTTATGTGTAGGTGAGGGAGACCTCCTTGAAGCTCCCAACGCAGGATAGATTCGATTTGTTCAATATCTCCTCACATTCATTCACTTTCCTTGCCGCATCTTTCAATTTTCTCGATTCTCCGCAGCAGACTGAAGCCCTACAAGTGGGATGCCGAGTCTCCCGTAAAATATCGTCTGGCAATAGGCAATCCACCTCAAGAAACTTGCAATACCTCCTACAGGAGTTGTGGGCGGCGGCGGAGATAGAGGGGGAGATCAGAAGACGCGAGCTATTTGGACGCCATATTTGTTCCGACTTCCAGGTTTCCCGCAGCCTAGGCAATGCTTTCCACGTGCTTAACCCTAACGCACCTGCAAACTAAGTCTTACTCACATTCAATTCTCCATATTATAATGCGATTCACACCTGGGCAGGACTGGCTTGACATTGAGCGAAGAAAGGAGCACATGAACGTATTTGAGTCTTGGACTCCTATTTGCCAACTTTCCCTCCATTTTTCGTTCTCCCCTTTTCCTGCCCACTTTAAAATCAGCTCAAAAGTTATCCAAACTGCTCTTCGTTCCAGTCGTAATGTTAGTTTTCTTTTTGTTTTCTCCAGTATCGTGTTTGCCTTTGGACGGAAGACGCATTCCCATCACCTCTGAAAATAACTTTCTCTCACTCATCGAGAAAAAAAATTTTGCTTTCAAAATCACAGTTCCGATTCCAAACTCCTTCTGCGAAGCTTTCATAATGTTTCTTTACAATGGACCGTGGCTACCAGAGTGTAAGATATTTCCTTACAGGTCTTCTGCAGCTTCCACCTACCGGAATGGAAAGGCAGGATGTCAAACCTGCTATCCATTTAACTCGTGAGCTTTCGTGATTCCTCCTACATGCATACTGTATACTAGCTACGGTTATTGGCTGGATAGAAAAGAATATAGGTGCAACGCTGATATCATCTGAGTAAGAAACGGCAAAACACAAGCGCCTAATTTAGATTCAGCGAAAAGTTGCAGCCCCAAGAGCAGAATAAAAAGTTCATGCCATATCCCAGCCAGATGTTCCAAGCTTGGCCCACGTTCACGAGCCACACATGTACACGTGCGCCACGGATGTAATAGGCATAGGGCGTAACTTAAATGTCCACGTTTTCCGTGGCACCCAGTCTAATACATCTGTGGGCCAAGTGTGGCTTATGTTTATGGTAAGTCCGCGACAAGCAGAGCCATGATTGTGTACAGTATTTACATGTGCAAGCATGGTGCGAACGAGGTGTACAGTATGTATGTGCCACTCCACTCCATGTCCGCTTTTTTGCGGCAACCTAATCATAGTACTAATTATAGTTCGTTTCAGGGAAAGGTCCAACCCTTGATGTTCCATGGATTATACATGAATTCAACTCCTATTTTCCTCATTTTGATCTCAGGGCGAAGAACTAGAGACTCGTATTCGCGAACAAGCTGTTGTTTTAGAACCCCTTTGGGTTACGATCACTATACTTTTTTGTTGTTGAAAGAATAGGAGCTAATGGGGGACTGGCCCCTCTCCCTGATGGTGGGTACATCAGGGGTCCCGCCAGTCCCGGTGAAACCCTCCTGCGAGCGGGCTGGCAGGTGCAAGACCCCTCGAAGCTGATTTAGACAATGGGAATGGTCCCCATTGTCCCGATCAGAGACCGAGGTTTCTCCCGTCTGTTTTACAGATTACTCGTTAGTTAGGACAGTTGCAATAGCAGCCTAGAAAAAGATGAGACCTATTCGTTAACTTTTAAAGAATGAAAACACGTTGGGGCTATTTTATACCCACTTATAAAGATTATTAAATCCTATCCATTTAATAATAGCTTTATATAAGTTTCAGGTACTTATCAGGTGCCCCGTGAGCTACTTGGGATTGACAGGTGCCAGCTGTTAAGAAAAACATTATTAAGGCTCCCTGCTTGTCCCGACAGATAGAGAGGATAGCTGCTAAATAAGGCAGACTAGCTAAAGAGAGAGATCTTACGATTGACGCTGAGCTGCCTTAATTGGTGGGGGATGAAAGGGATTAGGACAGTTGTGGCTGCATAGATGTAAGAAGGGGTGGATAAGATCAAAGTCCTCTTTATGGGGTATCTAGAGGGCTTGATGAGTTGAAGAGTGAGAGATTGAAAATGGTCTAAAGGGCGGCCAGGGGAACAAAGAAATGGTCAATGGATAGGTGAGGGTTGGGGGGAGCATGGCTGAGTAGTTGAGTCATTTGGATCACCGAGTGTGTTAGCGATATAATCTTCCCAACTAGTGATTCGTCAGCGTATGCTGAAAATACTATTACTCTACTGAAGTAAATGGTTCTTATAGAAAATATGAGCTTGTTTATAGCCTGGGCTCCATGAATCTGTCTCGAATATGGGGATAATAAATGATGAAGTGCCGCGTTTATTCATTAGTATAATGAGATTAGGCGAGACATATGGCGAAGTACTAAACACTCCTGTAAGGGACGATTCCAGTGAAAGAGGGAAGGCACTTTTGTGTACTGTGCGAAAAGCGAAACACACACCTCCATCTAATGGCAAGGAAGAGAACATTTTCCAAAAACTTTTATGTGCAAATTTGGCACATGGGATCTTCGCGGTCATTTTTGAGTTATGCGTCTCATGATCAAAATTATTCGCACGGTTCTCAGGAAAGCTTCAAAGCATTTGCAGAAGTTTTCACTGATCTTCAGTCGGATTGCACTAGTGCGTGAAGCATCCATGTCCGCCAAGTGCGGGCAAAGTGTGCAAGACCTTCCTGAGCCACAGATAATTTAACCACTGAAGAGCCACAGAAACGCCACAGCTTCCGCAGATACGCCGATCCATGGCTACACATACACTGACGACAGGGACCAAGTACAATTTCGTTCCCACATTCGAGGTTTACGCGAATAGAAGTCTCTTTCAGAAGATGAATGGAATATGCTCCGAAATACAGTCGATGGGAGGAATCAAATGAAAACTATTTTTTGTCAGAAAAAGACAGGCAATAATTTGCTAAAATGAAAACAATTTTCAACGTTTTGGAGAAGGGTTCACAGTATTGGAATGAAGGGTTTCAGCCCTTCTCACGCATTTATTTAGAAGAGGAATCAAGTTACCAATTGTCTACCCTTTCTCGCGCATGCATCATTGCTGGTGTCGGCCTACTGTCTCGGGGAAATTGAGAAAGCTTGGTATTAATATTAGTCGAGCAATTTTGGGCGTAGCAGCATACTATGCCTTCGATGAATGGCAATAACTTCAAGGGAAGCACGCACTTCCGTGAAGGAAAAGACAGGAGTGGGAACGATCGTGGCGCCTAAACATTCTACACAGCTCGTCCAATTGGTGTCTTTACCTCATCTCTTACACATATCTTTGAGTGAGCCCCGACGCCAGGCGCTACCGCCTTCTTCTTCTGTGTCAACGAATATTTCGCGGATCCCCTCGGACAACTCCCATTCCGATCCTCATCACTACGTTTCTTCCCGCTTATGTGACTTCCCAAGTTTTATTGACGAAGGAAAAGCCATTCTTCCCCATCCGGTCTTTCATCCGTAGCTCTCCCCTATGAATATAAGGGAGTCGCGAACAACGCCTGATGTTGATATCGGCAATCGATATCCACCGCCTCCCTTCGCCCATAGAAAATGAGAAAGTTCTCATGGTGGGGTGCTAAATTTGGAAATAGGTAGTCTCCCAGCGTGGAAAAAAAACAATCGCGTTCAAGTTGAAATCCCTTCCCATTGAAGGTTGCAGATGAAGTTACGAATGAAATCCCCAAAATTCCATTTCCCAGTGAAGACAACGGGTGACATTAAATAATATATGCGCAGAACCAACAAAGACACTTTCTTTTTTTCCATCCATCAATAGTACGATACAGGTAGATCTCCATGACCGCATATTAATGAGTGATTTCAACCCCCACCCTAATGATCTGATTCACATGCAGAACAAGGAAACTACGAATATCGACGTATATTCATAAAGTCGCATTTTACGGAAAGTCCAATCGCAACCACATTGACTCGAGAGGAAGCCTCTTCCAAGGATCCTAGTATCGGAGGGATCGAAAAAGGCTATAGGGACCGTGACCAGGCGCTGTTACGCCGGGTGATCCACACAGTTGGGTGCCCGTCCCGTGCTGATCAACGCACTCATGATACCCCAAAGGGAGA